GATGTACTGTATTAATTCGATTCTTTCCTCTCTAGAATTTGTTTTGATTATGATGAATTAAATGGCATAGTTAGAGCGAGTGTGGGATCTGAGCATCAATATGAATCTTCTATTATCTTATACCTACACCCACATCCTTATTAGTTTGATTTTGTTCTTTATGAAGATATATTAAACATGTATACCAAACTTAAAAGTTGAATTCAATTTGAAAAACTACTATTCTACTTTTAAATTTCAATTGTTTATATTTTCACGGCGGTACCTGCCTCGAGAGAGACTGTCTACTTGTTTGAAACTTGAAATTCAACTTTCATGTTTATCATACATGTTTGATATATCTTCCTACAGAACAAAGTCAAACTAAGAAGTCATTTGTTACAAGACGGTAACAAGAGTGACACAGGTGAAAATTCATTTATATTATACTTCAAGCAACCAAAATCTAAGAAATATGAGATTGTTCTCTGTAGAAATACACTTAATGAGAAAATTGAACGTTTAATAACATGCAAAGATAGACGATAAAAACTATTCTACCTTTTACAAGCTCATCTTAGGGCGACGAGTTTATTGGAAATAACAAATATAAAGATTGTTTCGTAGAGTTAGGATCATTATGAATTTTTTTTTCGTATTTTTCCAATATATCAAGCTTGATAGGTATAAAGGAAATATATTGGTAACATCTAATATTGACTAGACTTAATTAACATCATTATTAAGAAACTCCATTATTGAAAAACACGCAAAATTTTTTTTAACAAATTTATTTTCTATTCTTTTTTTTTAGAATGAGAAAAATACTAGTTGTATGCTCCTTGTGAGTGATTTTTATTATTCTGTTTTTATTGAGTCAAATTTTTCTTTTGCGCGATCAAGATAAAAATATAATGAAACAGAATAAAAAAAATTTTGATAAAATTATGTTGACATTTTCCCTAATAATGTATCGTGTTAGCAAGGATATCAGTTGAGAACAATAAAGTTTCCATGATAACTCAGATAATACTTGTCAAAATATCTCTTCTATGTCTTTTCAAGTTTCTTTATTTGAAAAATACAAAAATCAAAATGAGTCCAAAACTTATTAATGATATCTAATTATTGCTATTCGTTTCTTCCTTATCTATGCTGGCCCGGACAGAAAAAATAAAAAAAAGACACCTCTAGTTTGCTCTAAAAAATGAATAGAAAGAAAAACGTCTGACATTATTAGTAGTGTTCGATTAATGAATATAATTCTGCATTGCCTATGTCAGAGTTGAAGATTTCGATGAAAGTACTAAAATTGTAAAGACTAAATACGGAGATGAATGGAATAGAACTCAAGCGAGAAAAATGAAAAAAAAAACACATTTAAACATGTATGTAAACTATTCCGCCATTCAAATAAATTTTTACGAATTTGAAATATATTCTGAGAATAATAATATGATACTATCGAAACTACTGAAAAACATAGAAAGCAACGTATTGAATTATTCTCATGACAGAGCAAATCATGACAACTCAAAACATACTATCAAGTCAGGTGGAGCAAATAAATTTCATAATAATGAGTTTTCTTGGCTTCAATGTCAGCACGATTAAATTTATTTTTGTATTCCGTTATTTGATAAAAGATTGTTGTCATGAACATGCTATAAACCACTCTTACTACTTATGTTGGAAAAGCTATCAAGTCATGTAATTAATTGATAATATTAACTAATGTAAGATATGTGGAATTAACTGCACAATGAAAATAGAGAAAAAATTAAATTAAATTTCCTCAACTTTGATACATAAGCTATTTATTCATCTAGTCTAAGCAAGATAAGGAAGTGTGGATGCTAGTGTATGTCTGCGACGAGGTTAAAGTCCATGCCTATACATCCAAATTTTACATGAATAACGTCGTTTTTTTTTGTGACTATCGGCAATCACAAGTGGCATTTTTTCTGTATTATTGCGTGAGTCAGGTAAAAAAACAATATTTTTTTCTTTCTTTCCACTCATAGAATATTACAGTGAGACGTCATAGTGCTCATTTTCCCACCAGCAAAACAGCCACAACAAGTCTGTACAAATAGAACTGACTCAATATTGTGCAATAAAATATCGCATTGGCACTGCTGGTAATTCAAAAAGGTATAAAAAGTTTTCATATTTATACTCAATCTCACATTTTCTCAAACTTCGTCCGACCAAAATAAATCAAAAGGTAGGTACTGGGAAAGAGTCTTGTTCTTTTTACGTCAGAAGACATTGATTTACGTTAAAATGCTTCCGATAAAATCTATAGGTGAGCTTCGAGTCACACGGATGTGTGAGGAGTAGGTGCTGATGAGTATGGATATGAGCGGGTGTGTGTGACGTTCTATACGGAGAACGTCCAAATTCCATCTAATAGTGTAAAACTTCTGTTCGAGTGCATTGTATACATGATGTTTATCCTTTCCTTACTATTTCTTCTCATCTTACATATTGTACTTATCTGTTTGTCTTTACTTTGTACATCATTTTGTACTTTGTCCCTGTCTTAGTACTCTCCCTTTCTTTCCTTATTATCCTTCTCTTCTATATCGTTTTCTCTTCTCTCATGGTCGAGTATATAAGCATATGTTTTGTATGTAAACGAGGCAGTTATGGATATGAAGAAACATAATAAAGCGTAGTTCCATCAGCGCTAGCTCTTCTTCTATCTAGAATCGTCATAGTGTGCTTTGCCGGTATGGTGTATTGGTGTGCGTATGGGTGGCTTTCGGTGACAGTTGCAAGAAGACTTACATCCCACACCCTTTGATAGTAGTTAAAAGGGTGTAAGAGTTTACGGAGACTACCTGAACATGCAACGTATAACTTTTCAGGAGCTACTTGAGTATCCTATCTGGAGCTCTCTATAAGCTACATTGAGTGCATGTGTTGCACTTTTAAAAAATTGCTATAATGAAACTCGTTGGGAGTATAAAGAAGACGCATAGATTTCAACGTATAGACAATAAATCAGATGAACTCCAGAACTAGATTATTAAGCCGATATTTAAATGCTGCAATTATAGTGAACAAAAATTTTCGATTGATTTGTACTTCACTCATAAAAACAAAGATACGTAGGATAAGTTGAATTGAAGCTACTGAAGGATGTGCCTGCGGCAAGAAATGTTCAAGCGTCAATTTTCTTTTTCTACTATGCTATATGATGATTGTTGACTTTTGTTTTCAGACAAGATGAATTTCAATGCGAATGATTTCAAATACACGGCTGATCTATTAACCACTATAGAAACCAAACTAATCAATGATGGTTACGTTCGAATACAATTTAGCGCGGACGATCTTCCAAATGATCGTCATCAAATTAAGAAGATTGAATCTTTTTTTGTTGATTTCATCAAGAAATTGGGTGGTAAATGCTTAACGCATAATGCCGAAGAAAACTCATTTGTCTGGCACGTAAGACCATTGCCATCGATCTCAGATATTCAACATCCACTGGCACGATCCCAAACCAATGAAGAATTTCCATTTCATACCGATTGTTCGTACGAATCAAATCCACCAGAATACGTGGCATTGTTTGTTTTGGAACAAGATCAATTGGGTGGTGGACAATTCGAAGTTATTCAAGTATCAGACATTGTCAATAATTTATCTGAAGCAAGTAAAACGATTCTATTGACGGAAAACTTTAAAATTGCTGTCCCAATGGAATTTCGCAAGGTGAAAGATGTCGATCACATCTATGGACCGATTCTTCTCGATCATAATGAAATTCGCTATCGTCCAGATATTGTCCTTGATCACAAATCTGCTGCATTGAATGAACTCGAGTCAATCATCAGTAGAATTCCAAAACATGCACCAAAGTACGAAAAATATACCATGATTCTTTTGAATAATCGAAAATATCTTCATGCACGTACAAAAATTCTCGATCCTCGTCGTCATCTGCTTCGAATTCGATTTAATAAACCAGCTCCATACAATGTTTACTCCATATATAATGAAACTAAATTACGTCCAGAATATTTAACGTTACCACACACTTTGCTCGACTATTTTCGTGAGCAACATACTCGTTTATACAAGACTTTGAAGCTAATTATTGAACAATATCATCAACCGACGGAAGTTGGTGCAGAAATTCGACGTACGTTTCAATTCGAACCAAAAATTCATAATCTTCTATGTGAATTGAATATCCATCGTCCGGAATTCGATATCGGAAATTATCGACCAGATGTTCTGTTCACTACAGGACGTCGTTTCACTATGAATGGCAAACATCGATTCGAACCAAAAATCTGTGAAATTAATGGTAGATTTTCATGGAATGGATTTCTATTTTCAGCTGCGATCTGTCCTGGAAATAATAGTAATCAAATTTCAGTCAACTTCAATACTATGCTCGATACCATCATTACATCTACTCAATTGGATACGACAAAATCGATGACAATTCTTAAATCGAAAGAACACGGCTTCGATATACATCTATTTCAGAAATACTGGATGAATAGGTATCATCAAACTTGTCGTATAATACATCCCGATCAAATACATGTCATCAATGGACAATTATGTGATCGAAATGATAGACATCCCATTCAACAATTGATTTTGGAATTACATCAAGATGAAATCTTGAGTTTCTCAAATGATATTCTTCATACCTTCATTCACAATACTCAGCTACGATATATGAACGATCTACGAACAATTTTTCTTGTGCATGATAAACGTATGTTTTCACTTCTATCCAATCAAGCATTCTTAGATGCACTTTGGCAATGTGATTATGATCAAACAAAGACTTTGACACAACTAATACCTACGACATATGTTATTGGTCAAATGCCATCCTATGTCCGAGAATGTGTCTTGACAATGAAAAATAATTGGTGTATCAAACCAAATCTTGGAGGCAAAGGAGTAAATATGAGCATAGGTAAGCATATCGATGATTCTCTGTGATTTTCTTCTTTGGAACAAAAAAAAGAAACATTACATCAAAATCTATATTGTCTAATAATGTAGTTTCATGATGAATTTAGGTACGGATTGTTCGTCCGAAGATTGGTCTCGTCTCTTATTAGACCGGAATCATCACGAATGGATCATTCAACAATATCAAGAACCAGTTCAATATGAATCTATGAATCTATCAGGCATGTTATTCTGTTGCAATAATAATTGTTTCAATCTTGGACCTATTCGATTATCTCCGAACAAGATTGTTAATATTAGTAATGGTGGCTATTTCATTCGTCCTTTTGTTCATCGTCGATATGTGCATTGTTCTGAACAGAGTGAAATTCTTACCAAAGCAAAACTACACGAACAATTGGAAATGTCTAGATTGACGCAACCATACTGGAATCGAAATGTCTATCTGTCATCATCGGGTGGTAGTGGCGGGAAACGATTGTTCTTTGCTACAGATATTCAAGAGAATCAACGACAACGAGAAATTCTAGTCGATATGATGCTTTCCAAGGATGTTCTCTCCCAAAAGGATGTCTGTCTCAATCTATTTCACTGCAAGAATATGTATCGATCGTTAGAAATTTTCAATGACTTCTGTTCATTGGCTTCTTGCACCGTCTTACCAATGGGTTCTGATGTCGAAGATGATAAAGTTCTCAAGATTATTGAACATTTTCGACCGAACGTTCTCATGGGTTCACCTTATCGACTTATGCAATTGGCTCTATTTATCGAAAAACATCATCAGACAAATGAAAAAATTCATTTTGAAAAAATTTTCTTTGCTTGTGAGCCATTAGATAATCTTAAACGAGATTATTTCAAACGAGTTTTTCACTGTTCAACGTGTTTGGGCTTTTATGGGTCAGCTGAAACTGGTGTCCTCGCTTGTCAAACGCCTGAATACTCTACGACTCGATTATATATGTATCCGAAAGAATTGGTACAAGTTAACATTAATAATGGACAAATTATCGTAACGAATCTTGTTCGACGACGAAATCAATTGATTCGATTTAATACGGGTGACCTTGGTCGATTAATACCGACCGATGACAACGAAAAGTATGGATTGGTCGAAGTTTGGCAAAGTCAACGATTAATAGATCTTACTCCTGGCTCGATTATGAAATCTGATATTGAAGAATTTATGAATCAATTTGATCTCATCGAATGGCAATTAATCATAGAAAACGAGCTGCACAATAACAATCGAACGATGCTAACATTTCGTTGTGTTGGAAAACTGAATACAACCATCGAACATATGAAAACAGATGTGAACAATTATTTAACACGTTGTCTAGGTAGTTCATTTCCGATTGAAGATCATTTGACTACTCGATTCGAATCAATTCCGTATGAGGCATTGATTCGAGATCAAGTATCGAATAAGTTGCTCAAAATGATCGATAGACGGTCCTAGTAGAAACTTATTTTAGTCTTTTAATAAAATCGAATATTGTTACCTCTTAAAAAGTACACTTTCATTTCATGTTGTTTTCAAAGCTTCAACTCATTGTTCGTATAATGTCTGAATTTGTTCGATAATCGGCAGTTCAAGTTAGGTGGAAAAATCCTCTTCACGACTTCTTCAAATCAATTAATTCATAGCAACAAGAATTACTTTTCTAGAATCATTGTTACTGGAGGTCTAGATGATCACCCGTGTACTGCAAGTATATCACTAACAAATGAGCTATTCTTCTTGAATTTACTCTTTCTGAGTACCTATCTTCTTGTATTTAGTGTTTATGGTATAGTGAACCTATCAGCCAATACTCCATATTTCACTGCATACAGTCATTTATGTCTAGGGAATCTCGAGAACGGTCGAATAAAAAACTATGAAACTTTCAGAGTAAATAGATTTCGAATAGTAGAGTAAGAGTTGCATCAGAGTCAATCTTCTATGATACTTCGTTCTTTGAGGTTTTAGGATTACAATGTCTACAAGAAAAAAGTTCAAAACATTTAACTTGATTTTTCGAACGGTTATTATAAATTATTATTTGATGAATGAAACCTACTTTATATCAATCAAGAAAAAGAGAAATATAACTCAGTAGATTTTGAAGCTTTGCAACAATCGAATGCAAGTCGGTGATGAAAAAAGATTCTATTTTAGCTTCACTTTAACATGAACCATAAGTAATAAGTATCTGTGAATATTTGCGTTCTAATGCAAACCATATTTGATCTATATTTTATCAACATTAGAATAGTTAGTTGTTCTATTACTTGAATAACTTCATCAAATATAATGACAAACATTGTAACTAATATTTTTATATAAGTATATTAATTGTAGCAATACTGCATACCCTGAAAGAATGAATAGATCTTTTGAAAAAACGACACAAATGTCTTATTTATCATGAAAACATGTGAACATAGCTTCATTGGTACTGAAATGGGAAATTCGCATGTATTCCCTATCCTCATTATACTAATACGAAATACGCTAATTGAAAAATCTCTAGTAGATTATAGTTATTTTCCAAGGATAACCGATCGTCAGAGAAACAATCTGCCTTATTTATTTCTGTATTTTTAATAGAACTTTTTTCTTTTTTCCTACTGACACTCTAATGTTTGTTTGCCTTATTGCTATTTGCTCATTAATTTTCTGTTTCGCTTAATTTAACAGTGGTATTAGTATCCTAAGAATTAAATTAATTGACAAAAAAACCCTATTGTACATATTTATTATATGAGCAGCTTGCCTCAACTCACTTTTACACATCTCGATAAGCTGAGAAGTACTGATGCTGATTATACAAAGTTATAACTTGATGAATTCACGCATTTTATGTTAATCATCTGATGACTGAAAAATCAATGCATCATCAACTCTCATCCTTAATTGATAACATAGAACTTTTCATCTGCCCAATAATAGTAAACTGCACTATTTAGAACAGTCACATATGTGTTTTAGCCATTCAAATTTCAACAAAAGTTTTGAAATATTCTAGAACATTCTATATCTTGTCGTTAATCCTGTTCAGTCAATATTTTTGTGCTAAGAAACTCTGAAAAATGAGCAAAGTGCCGATGGTTCTTGATTACTATGAAAATGTACCCAATGACCTTTGACTTGGTTTCTTTCAAGATGAAAGTGGAGATTGCAAAAATCTGAGCTTAAAATCTACACTCGCTATTTTCCTTCGACAACTATCTATGACTTCGACAAAATACGACGCATCGTTTAATTCAATATTTCGCTATAAATGAAATTCTTATGTATTCAAGACATAGTTATAACCATTAACTATATCATAAATCATTTTTATTCATAGAAAAAATAAATATCAGCTAAGAAGAATATGGATTATTTTTTAAAACATAATGCTTGTTTATTAAAAAACAATATAAACTATTTGAAAAATGTTTGTTGCATGAATAAATTATACAAAAATAAAAATTATATTGAGTTAATACCACCTTTTACACTGTTGGTTCACCACCAGTTATTAAATATTTTTAAAGAAAAATAAATTTGTAAAGAGTAGAAAGACGAGTTTGAACTTACCAGCGAGAACTTCACTAGAAAAATTATACAAAAAACAAAGTCATAAGAAACATAATTGTCATAATAGAAATTCTTACCCAGATATATAAGATGAATCAACAGGTGATGCTAGGAAAACAAATGCTGGTGCTAATTCACGTGGTTGTGCTGGTCGTTTTATTGGATAACCTTCACCAAATTTAGCATTTTTATCTTTTGGAAATGATGCAACGACTAATGGAGTCCAAACAGGTCCAGGCTTCATGAAAAAATTCTTCAACACTTAAATAAAAATGCAAACATTTTTATATACCGCAACACAATTAACTCAAATACCTTTTTCTAAAAGTTGACGTGCTAAACCTTTAGTAAAACCAATTATAGCAGCTTTTGTTGTAATATAATCTAAAATTTCTGCTGATGGATCATAACTAACAAACAATATATTAATTCAATCAAGATCTAGATAGTTTAAATATTACTCACGCTTGTATTAAACCAACATTGATAATAGCTTTGCCTTTAGGAATATGTGAAACTGCATATCTCACCAAATCGAACACTTGAAAAGAAAAACAATAATAATAAGAGAATTTATTTTTTTGTTTCACATGATATTTTTT